AAGTGGAGGATGTATTATGTATTATGCATATATGGAAATATGTATATATAATTATATATAAATACGTATACTTAATCCTCGTTTTAACGGACTGCATGGGGAATCCGATAATGCCGAAAGTTCATTATTTCCGAAAAAGGTATGCTCGTGACTTAGGTTAGCGGACTTTATTTTCTAAAAAGGCAAAATAAATACGACATAGGCTATGGTTAATCACAAATACGTTGTTATCACAATAAAGTACAAGACATGCGGACTGTTACCCCTGAAGGAGCGGACTTTGTCCAATTTCGTCTGCTGTTTCCGTTACATTCCGTTGTTTGCAAGTCCTTTGCTTTCGATATCTATTAAAACAGGGTCCGTAAGATCGAGGTCTAATTGTCTATATATTCATTTCCTACCGAGTATGACGGTACACCGTCGACTTTGCGTGTAAATCAACTTACGATACGTAAGATCTTACTTAATAAACACTGTAAATTATTGATTTATTCGTACTCGAAACGTTGACATATTGTTTTCAGTGAAGACTGTTAGAGTATTCTTTAGTTTATGTGTCGGGTTGCGCGCATGTACGCATGTAACGCGACAACGATATTTTTACAGTTAACATTTCCTAATACAGTACTATACGACTCGTTATAAGGCGTATAATATATAAGTTACCGACTTGCCAATGCTTTCTGTCTAAACAACAAACCCCTATAAACTAATCAGTAATTAATAATCAGTAATCTCTATTTAATAAACATAACCACAGAAAACAAAAGAAAATTTGGCAAACGAAGCGACACATCATGGCGGCTTTCAAGGCTGTGCGACCACCAACGAAATGTGCATTTTGCCACCAAAGTATCCGCCCAAGAGGAGATGCGGTGCAGTGCTGTGTGTCGGCGTGTCCGACATCACATACATTGCTGATTCCCACCCGTTACAACCCGAGAGACGAGATCAAAAGCTACGTGGCGTCTCATTTCACGAATACGCGATTATATTTGATTTCCCGTTCTTCGCGAAAAGAGATCGAAGATTGACCGAGATTTTGATTACCTGCCCTACTATACACACCGGTGTAGCATGGCAGACACCTTCCCCCCTACAGCAAACGTCCCTCCTTATACACTGCACACAGGCAATAGACACCAAACACGATAATACACACCCATGCGCAATGTAACAAGGAGGGGGGGGCGGTTGTCATAGGGGGGGGGGCGTCTACCACGGTACGTCGGCTGTCAACCGACCGCAACTTCGCAGCACGATGTCGCGTCGGCGACGAGATGTCGTCGCATGCGAGCTAACGGGTGTAGATGGTGTAGCCGACGGCCGACGTGACGATGATGGCGATGACGGGAGTTAGGTAGTTAGTCGGCGGCGGCGGCAGAATAGCGTTAACGAACACCTTGCGTCCTCGCCGCTCCTGCGGCGGCCTGAAGTTGTTCACGAGCTGATCGCGCTTGTTAGAGCTAGCCTCGTACTCGTTGAGTATTCTAAACCTGGTCAGCTGAGGACGAAAGATGAAACAAACGATGAGGGACTATAGTAAGCAGGTAGCTTGGAATGAGGATGACGCCAACGGCGGAGAAAAATGATAAAGGGATAATAGAGAGAAGGGAAAGAGGGAGATGACATACGTGGGAAGGACCATAAGGGAGCGACCAAAAGTACGAAATAAGGGAGAAGAAAAAAAAGGGGAAGAAACAAAATGAAAAACTAGCAATATCAGTAGCAGCTGTAGTAGCAGCAGCAGCAGTAGCAGCAGCAGTAGCGGTAGTAGCGGTAGTAGTAGTAGTAGTAGTAGTAGTAGTAGTAGTAGGGTAGATAGACGGTAGTAAGGAGTAGTCGGGGTAAGTAGGTTAGTTGTTAGTCGTAGCAGAAGAAGAAGTAAGCGCATGGAGAGAAAGATGCAGCGCGAAGAAGCGGAAAAATGGCAAAAATAAGACGAAGAAGAAAATGAGGAGGAGAAATGCGAGTCTTTAATAACATAGAAACGCCATAGGATGCTGCCGTCTATGATCTGTTATAACTGACACATTTAGCGCTGAGGGTCGTTGTCGGTATAGGTAGTTACGCCCTGAGGTGTCTGTCGGCGGATGCTTACGAAGACCTACTCCCTAACCCGACCCTAACCCTCAACCGCCCTAGGAGCACCCAACGTAACCCTGAGGCCTAACCATGATCAAATAGTTACCTCGGTACCATATATACGCCATTATCGACAAAACGACCCTTCGTGCCACATTAGCGACACATTGCACCTCCCCGTCGCTATATCGACACACGGAGTGGACACTAGCAGGTGTTGGCAGAAAGATGCGATATGATATGACTACTAGGCACTTTAATTTACTGGGTAATGGTTTATATTTAAGGGTATAGGGTTAGAGTGAGGTTAGGGGTTTTTTTTAAGTGCCCTCCGTGTAAGGCATATCCTAAAGTGCCTGTGTCATATCATATCGCGCATCTATCTGCCGGGTGGACACTAGCACGCACCTGCTTCTGGGAGATGGTTGCAGGGTAGTGCAACATGGTCCAGACGACCGACTCATAGCACGGCGGCGTCGTTAGGGAACCCGAGTAACGGTAGAACGCAGACGTGTTCGTCGGTAGCAGTTCCGTCAGTCGGAGCTCGGGAAGATCGGTCTTATCACCTGCAATGCAATTACCGCACGCATCAACGCTGTGATTGATATACGTACAGGTGTGGTGTGTACCTACGTAATATCTACGGCCGGAGTGTCTACAGGTGTGGTATGTGTAAGTGAAATGTGTATTGGTATGATATGTGCAGGTGTGGTATGTACTGGTGTGGTATGTACTGGTGTGGTATGTACTGGTGTGGTATGTACTGGTGTGGTATGTACTGGTGTNACACACACACACACACACACACACACACACACACACACACACACACACACACACACACACACGTACAGTAGTAGTTGTTATATATGTATTTGGACTGTATGTATACGGTGCTTTTCAGTCGCCGACGCGCCTAGTTTATTCGAGCACGCAGACAGACACACGCAACACACGGTGACAACGCAACACACTAGTCGCGCGACATTCCTGGCGTGCGCCGGCGTCCTAGATTTACAGCCATGTCACACAACAATGCGTGAAATAGTCACTCTCTGACTGTCGCAGTCGGCGAGACGCAGCCGTTCGCAGGCGAATCAAGAAATAGGTTATTTCAGGTCGAGGGTACACTTTCTGGGACGCCCGCACACACACACACACACACGCGTACGCGCACACATGCGCACATACACGCGCACGCACACGCACACGCACACGCACACGCTAACGCACTACGCACATGCACGCACGCACGCACGGCACACACACACACAACATCATCATTAATATAATATAATATATATATATATAATATATGATATATATAGAGAGACGAGAGAGAGAGAGAGAGAGACCGAGAGAGAGAGAGAGTAGAGAGAGAGAGAGAGAGAGAGATGAGAGAGAAGGAAGGACGAGAGAAAAGAGAGGCACAGATACAGATATATAGATATATAGATACGTTCTCGGTAGTAGTGCAACACTTTAGTACATGTATAGTATAGTATAGCTAATACACACAGAATGACGAGACGGGGGGAGCTGAGCTACGAAGTAAGAGGAATGGACAAAGAGATGACGAAGAGAGAGAGAGATGAGAGAGAGAGCAGAGAGTAGAGGAGAGGAGAGAGAGAGAGAGAGAGTTATAGAGAGAGAAAGAGAGAGACGGCTACATACACCGGCACAAACCGTACGTACCTTTGAATCTTATTTTCATAAGATTGTCGACAATAGTTCCCAGACCCGGGTTCTCCTTTCCCATCTGCAATTAGTACGACAACGGACGACAGATCGTTAGTAACGGTAGACGCACCCGCGGCGACGACGACGACGACGACACCACCCATGTATCGTCTGCCTGATGTGCAGACACGACTAAGCGATAAAATTACTCACGTGTGCGCCTTAACATTCGCGCAACCCGCGGGCTCCGGGCAAGCTAACGGTTACTATGCGGTCCGCCAAGCGTTCGAATATATTTTCCGTAACAGCAAACATCGCCTTTATGCAAATATTAGACGATAGCAGCTCATAAAACGATCGAATTACAGACATTCGTTAGCACGAATTTACTTACTGATCTCACTCTTCATCATAACGCTATTATAATTATATTGTGGATAGATCGGGTTAGATAGAATCTCTAAGACATCGACGCTTACCTTGAACCAAACACCGAGCACGGCCAAACCTTCTGGCTTATCGACTGCCTCCTCTAAGCTACGATATTTGGTGTTGTAATGAACTATGTGCATCTGTATATAGAAAGACAAATTAGAAGAAGATCACAGAATTGTATAGGAAAGCCGCTTGTAGGAATGCGTGTAGATAATATTAATGATTATTGATTAATTCATATTAACGACGTTTATTGATTATTGCGTCATCTTGAAGTGTCGGATATGTCAGATAAAGTCGACGTAGACAACTAAGAAAAAAAGGGGAAAAAAACAACGAAGAAGAAGAAGATGATGAAAAAGAAGAAGACGACGACGACGACGGCGAAAAAGAAAGGAAGACAGAAAGAAAAGACGAAGATGAAAAAAGCGTAAAAGAAAAAGAGGAGGAGGCGGAAGAAGAAGACGAAGACGACGGCGAAAAAGAAAGGAAGACAGAAAGAAAAGGCAAAGATGAAAAAAGCGTAAAAGAAAAAGAGGAAGAGGCGGAAGAAGAAGACGAACACGACGACGACGAAGAAGAAGAACAAGAAAAAGGCGACGACGACGGCAAAAAAAGAAGAGGACGAAGGAAAGAAGGAGGAAAAGAAAGACGAAGAAGAAAAAGAAGAAGAGAAGAAGTAAGAAGCTAAGAAAGAAGATCGACCGACGCGACCCGATCGACAGACAGACGCACGACAGCTGACGACGAAGACTCGTACGGATAATCAGACGACGAGCTACGATTACTCGACCGACGGAAACTGACCAACGACCCCGATCGACTGACGACCGGGACGGGGAAGAACCGACCGACGACGACGACCGACGACGACGAAGCGAACGACGACGGACCGACGTACGAGAGATCCGACGACGACGACGACGACCCGACGGACGTAAAGACGACGACACCCCCGGCCGACCGACTGAATGACGACGACGACAAGTAATAAGAAGAAACGACGACGACTCGACCCCGACGACGACTGACCCCGACGACCGCCCGGGGGGACCGCAAGACGACGACGACGCCGCACGCCACGACAGCGACTCGAAGATCGCACGACGACGACGACGACGACGCGACGAAAAAGACACGACGCACGAAGACGACGACGACGACGGACACGTACAAGACGTACGACGTCGGACGACGAAGACACGACGACGACCGACGACGACGAAGACCACGACGACGACCGGACGACGACGCCGAAACCGACGACGAAGACCGACGACGTACGTATGGCGACGGACGACGACGAAGACGACGACGACGCAAGAAAAAAAAGAAGAAGAAGACTGAGGCGCGGATCGAAAAGAAAAGAGCAAGCGAAGACGCAAGATAAAAACAAAAATGAGGAGGATGCAGCAAGAGTCAGCCGGTAAAGAAAAAAGACGACGACGGCAACGACGCCCGAAAACCGAAGAAGAGGATAGTAAGAGAAAAAAGAAGAAGACTGCGCAAGACGGGGCAGCAAGCAAGAGAAAACGGTAAGAAGTAAGACAAAAATAGAAAGAAGAAGAAGCAAGAAGAAGATAACGAGAGGAAGAAGTGAATAAAGAAGATGAAGAAGAAGATGAAGAAGAATAAAATGCGTAATCACCTCGATAGGGAACATCTCTCCGAATCTTCTATGCTCCGCACCGTCGAAGTTGTATTTCCCCAGTGGAACAGTGAAGAGCTACTGCCTTGTAGGGTTTGCGTTCTATAGTCGCCATCTTTGATCATTATCTCCTTTTCTTTGGAGCCAAACTTCACATCGGCTGCGATGGAAACACGGAACATCGACAAGAATCGTCAACACCGAAATCGCCGACACACGGTCACACATTTTGCGCACAGGAGACCACGCCACGCACACGCACGCACCACACGCGCCCCACACCACGCGCCCCATACATGCACGCACGTTGCGCATGCCCCCGCCGACGCAATACATCACTATACGCAACACACGCGCTGTATCGCACGCGCACACACACATTAACCACTCACATCACACACACACACACCCACCACACACACACACACACAACACCACCACACACACACACACAACACATAGATACCTTGCTATATATAATTAGGTACTGGTATAATAATGTATCTGTTCCGCCCTTATATACCTAGCGCCGTATATAATATCATAGTGTATCATATAGCTATATGCCTATATAATAGTTATATATACTATATATATATACATAGTAGTATATATATATAAAGAGGAGAGAGAGAGAGAGAGAGAGAGAGAGACGAGACAGGAGCGAGAGACCGAGAGAGATGAGAGAGACGAGAGAGCAGAGAGAGATATAGATAGATATATACATATGGTCACAGTAATAGTAAAACCATGGATATTACATACTATAATATAGTAATACCACACAAACAGGTACATGTCGCCTACAGTAACATAGCTACCGGGTTCCGTTGCTTTTCCATTGCTTGCATGCTTTTCTGACGTTCATCGTATCTATGAAGCTGAATTTGCTTCAATCCGGCATGTACTCGACGTCAACGATGTCGATCGGGGACTGCCCTATCCCTGGCCACGCCGGAAATCATCACGCCACTTATCTTGATCTGCGCGCCACAAAGGAAAAAAAGGAAAATAATCATCAGGCGTATATACGTGTTAGCTTTTAACGTTAAAATGGGTACGCCCCCGCGTGTGTGCGCGCGCGCCGTGTGGTTGTGTTGTGTGTGTGCGCTGCGTTTGGTGGTGTGTGTGCGTGCGTGTGTGGTGTGTGTGTGTGGCTCAGGTGTGCGTGCCTGAAGGACGGGTGCACGCTCACCTATCTCGTACGTACTGATATGCACGCGCGCGCGTGTATACGTGCGCACGTCAATCTTCGTCTACGTATAAAACGCCATACAAATCGACTCGCAAATATTTGCGCAGACGCATAAAGTGCCCAAAAAATTGCGCAGGGCCGAAATGCGCGCGTGTATCACTTGAAAAATGTGCACGCCGAAACCACTAACCGAGTTCCCAATTCGCATTCACGCACCGAGATGCCAACTACACAACGGCCCTAATGCACAATCTCTGTCTGATTTCACGCTCACTGCATACTCTCGCGACGCGCAACAATAGATACACTCAGGGGCGGATCCAGAGGGGGGGGTCAAGGGGGTCCGGACCCCCCTTTTTACCACAAAAAAGGTAAAAAAACATACACACACGCACCGCACGCACGCACGCTCGACGCACGCACCACACAACGACACACACGCTACGCACGCACGCACGCCACGACACACACACACACTTCTCTTAATGCTCCATAAAAAAAAAAAAAATGTTTTAGCGCTAGTTTTTCTGATAAACGACTTTATAACTTATATATATACTGTTAAATTCTATTAAAAAACCTTAGGAAATATGCGGCAAAGAGGGTCCGCCAGGCGTCCGTGGGACCGGATCTGGAAAACTTTTTGCATTCTAGACATCCAAAAATTACTGCTCAGATGCTCTCAGAATGCACCAATTTTTAAAAAAATCTTGGGGGAGGTCCCCCAAACCCCCCCAAAGTGGCCTTCGGCAGCTTTTTAAAACACCAGAAAAAGTAAGCAAAAAAAAGTGCCCTTTATTTCTTCCTGGACACCCCCTTTAAAAAAATCCTGGACCGCCCCTGCTGGGAAGACGGATCTAGAAGTAGCCCCCCCCCACCCCAACCCGGTTTTTAAAGTAAATTTAAAAGAAAGGCGTAAGATGAATGGGTGGTAATCTACATGCTGTAAAGCCGCGATTGGTTGATTGATGGCGCCAAGAGCGTATTGATGGTACTCACGTTCGTGTTCCCAACTGGCAGCTTTTGCGACTGTAATAAAGCAAAGCCGAGATTAAAGGCGAGGTGATACGATATCGGGAATCGCTGTACAGGCGCACCCATGCTTTGCACGGGCGCACTCACGCGTAGGTGCGCGCGCGCACACACACACA